TGCTGCTGCTGTTCTTGGTGGTCATCCTAAGATGGGGTCTTCTGCTGCAATTGGGCTGCACTTTCACCAACAGCCTCTTAGAGGCTCTCTTCATGGGGCCAAGTCTCAGCTGCTTTGAATGACCCCATCAGTCCTGGACCTTCAACTGCCACTGAGGCTCACCTTCACCAATGGCTTCTCCTAGCCTCTCAGAGTGCCCAGCCTCAGCTGCTCCCCATGACCCTTTCATGCCTTCAACAACAGTACCACCTGGGTAACATTTACACATTACCAAGTCTGGTTGCTAGCACGAGGCTCAACCTTGGCTGTCTCTGGAACACAGCTTCTCTGTGCTCTCAGGAAACACTTCCCAGAAGATTTCATGCTGGTCTCTTCTTAATCACCAGTAATTTCTTAGCTCCAGGTGACCAGTATTAAGTATCCCAGGAATGCAAAATCTTGCTTTAGCAGCTGTGGTATCTTGTTAATCAGCTGATTCTTCGGTCCCACCTAACCAGAACCATAGGATCTTAATCCCTCTGATGACTCTAGCTTGTGTCAAATTGACCCACAAAACCAGCCAGTGCACCAACCTAAGGGCTGACCCTTCTGACAGGTCGTAAGCCAGAGCCCCTCTGCTAGCCTGACAAGTGTTTCATTGTGTCTTGGCTTGATATGCAGCCTGAGACTAAGATGGGTGGAATGGAATTGGAGATTCTTGGTGAAACCTGATGCTTGATTTTCTTTCTTTAAGCTTTACCTCTTTGTGAGCTAAGATTAGAGAACGTCTACTCAAGGAACTTTCAGGGGGCAGTGTCTCATCTTCAACCTTCAGTTACCTGTGGTAAGTGGTGCAGGAGTAGACTCAAAATCTAACTACAAGAGTCCTGGCAAGTGTGAAATTCACAGTTGTGTACACCACCATACACTCTTGTGGTTTCTTAACAACAGATGACCCTATAAGCATCAGTTCAAGAGCAAATGATTCCTCCTCATCTATTATGAGAGCACCAGACATTGGCTAACGAAGGTCACCAATTTCAGAATAGTACTCTTGATGATCCTTCCTGAACAGTATTCACAGTTACTCTTATGGACATTTAGAACATCTGATTAAAGCCTTCTGGATCATTTCTGTTAGTCCCAAGTGGAACTAGTCACCAGAATATGAACCCTGTCAAAATCCATAGCTAGCCATCCTTTGATGCTCTCCTTTTCCTTCCCCAGGACTGAGGGAAATCTTGGAACTGTCTGTGTGGTGTTCTAATTCTCACTGACTGACTCTCTGCTTTTGACAAACCTGCCAGCTGATTTTGATGTTACTAACCCCCAAAGAGCCACCACATACAAATATGAGAGACATAAAAGATGAAGTACGCGCTATCCCAAGTTCCACCGAGTCTTCTGTAGGAATCTGTTTGTCAGCATGACCTCCCATGGTCACCTTGAGTTTTCAGGGTTTGGTGGGCTTTACATACTAGAATCACAAGGCTGACCTCATTAAACATGCTGATTCCAGCTCTCCTAACATCTAAGTAAGTGGAACTGAGATAAAAGCCAGGAATCTGCAAGTTCTCTAGAGGATTCTGAAGAACATGATTTTAGAAACACTTTTAATCTACCACATCCCTCCGAACACCAGAACTTCAAAGATAGCTCACTTAAATGAAAAAGTGTGGGCAAGCCAGCTCTTCAAAGCCAGAAATAGCTGCCTTTGCCAAGGAGCACCAGTTGTCATGGTCAATTGATCACCTTCTTCTGATTTTCTGTTCTCTTTTAGTTCCTTTGATATTTACACATATTCCGTCTGAGTCACTCAAGCTTATGGTTTATGGTGTGACTAATACTCTGGGGATAGTTAGTGAGTACAATTGAGAAATACCATCAACCTCATTGGCACATAGATGTCCCCACCCCCATCTCCTGTCCCTGAGCATCCTCAGTCTGCTCCAGCCAGGTATAAAAAACAGAACTAGGTCCCACCACTACTGGGGTCTTTACAACTTTCCTTTAAAAGCATTCTTTCCAACTTTGTTAGTTGGACTAATTCAGTCGGGAGACTGTCTGACCATCAAATGTGCATGATGAGCAAGCCTAGGTGGACAGGGAGTCAGTCACTGCCAAGATTCTGAGAAAGAACAGAAGGAAGGCAGTACCTCTGGCTGTGACTCATCCACTCTGGCAACCCAAGGGGAATTACCTATCCTTCCTCTGACCATCTGTTGGTGACAGCCAAGTATCTGGAACTCCTTCAGTGTTTCTATCATGAGAACTCTCATCACTGAGCAAAAAGACGTTTGGTTTACCCAAGACAACTAAATCCTGTCCTCTCTCAAGATGCAATATCAGAGCCAATAAACAATGCATAATCCACCATATTTCACATCCATCTACAACTTTGAGTTATGAGCTTATGTTTATTTTAAAATACATTATTAATTTTAATTGTCATAAGTGTGCATGTATTTATACTTATAGTGTGATATTTCAATTCAGTAGAGAGCATGAACTGCCATTTTTTAAAATCAACTCAAATGAAACTCAAAGGTGAATATAAAAGGTAAGTTCATAAACTGGTGGTGAAGTCATAAGCATGCTAATAAGATAGGCTCCAAGCTTTCAGAGAGAAAGAAGTCACCTAATTGAAAGTAGATTATCTTCTCTTATTTGTTTACCAAATAACTCCCTGCTAACAGGGAGAACAGACCAACATGTGCAGTTTCTCAGTGATACAATCTAACCCAGAACTGGAAACAATAATTTATTATCACAAAAAATACTTTTAAAAAACTATTGTTAAGATTTCAATTATGGATTAAACTAACAGAGGAATTTATGTGGTTTCAATAACGCCCTGGAGCTACCTGCTAACACAAACTGTAGATTTATTTTGTCACACAGCAACCAAGTGTTCTACCTCATATCAATACGCCAGGCTGTCCCTATTTCTGTCTTTTCTATTCTCTTAAATTTAACTTCTATTATGTTCACTGTACAGTTTTTTTCAAACTGTGCATTAGGGTTTAAGCAACTTGGCAGCAACATCTACAGTCAACAATTTTCAATGCCTACAGCATCCAGCACAGTAGCTGAACCATGGACTAAGACAAAATCACAATTGAATGTGCAAGATGCCTATGACAAGGCAGCTTTCTGAAAACTCCCAAACTCTGGCGATTTCTCTGATGGCCACCACTTCACTTTTGACAGCTGCATGCAGATCTCCACTGCTGACCAGACCGCAAAAGGCCTACCTTTCTCACCTCCTCCTGGAAGCTGCCCTGTGTTTTTTCTTTTAACCTCTGATTAAATGTTCACTGAATTTCAAAAGGAAAATAAAATTTCTCTTAACATTTAAATTAATCCCTGTCTTAGGGTTTCTATTGCTGTGATGAGACAACATGACCACAGCAACTCTAACAAAGGAAAACATTTAATGGGGTGGCTTACAGTTCAGAGGCTTAGTACTTTATCATCATGGCAGGACATGGTGGTGTGCAGGCAAACATAGTGTTGGAGAGGTAGCTAAGAGTTCTACATCTTGATCAACAGGCAATAGGAAGTGAACTGAGACACTGGGTGTGGCTTGAGCACATATGATACCTCAAAGCCAGCGTCCACATAACATACTTCCTCCAAAAAGGCCATATTTACTTCAACAAAGCCATACCTCCTAATAGTACCATTCCCTATGAGTTTATGAGGGCAATTACATTCAAACTATCACAATTCCTCAAGAAACCATCTTCTTCAAATGCTTAGACACAAATTATTTAGGAAAACTATTCAAATATGAGGGGAAGCTGGGAAAGAAGCTCAGTAGTAGAATATATGAGGCCCTGTGTTCAAATTCTAGTACCTCAAAAATCGAAAAAAAAATTTGATTACTGGGAACACCCACCTACTGTGGGTGGCACCATTCCCTGGGCAGAGATTCCTGGACCGTGTAAGAATAAAGGAAATGAGTTGAACACTAACACGAACACATTAATTCACTGTTCTCAGCACTTGACTGTGCATGTGATGTGGCCAGCTGCTTCAAGTTCCTGCTGGCTGGACACCCACAGCTAAACCCTGAGCTGAAATCCTGGAATCCAGTTGCAGAGAGGGAGGAGTGATGAGCAAAGGGGTCAAGACTAGGCTGGTGAAACCCACTGAAACAGCTGATCTGAACAAGGGGGGAGCTCATGGACCCCAGACTGATAGCTGGGAAACCAACATAGGACTGATCCAGAACCCCTGAAATTGGGTATCAGTGAGGAGGCCGCAGTAATCTATGGGGCCTTGGGTAGTAGATCAGTATTTATCCCTGGTGTACAAATGGACTTTGGGAGCCCATTCCACATGGAGGGATGCTCTCTCAGCCTGGACACATGGGGGAGAACCTAGGTCCTGCCCTGGATGATATGACAGACTCTGGGTATCCCCCAAGGAGGGCCTCATCCTCTCTGGGGAGTGGAGAGGGAATGGAGTAGGGAGTTGGGGGGCTGGGGAGCGGGGGAGGAGGGGTGGAAGAGAGAGCTGGGATTGACATGTCAAACAGGCTTTTTTCTAATTTAAATAAAAATAAATAAAAAAAAAGTTCCTGCAGCCTGAACTTCCCTACAATAAAGGGATTATAACCTGGAACTGTGAAACAAATAAACTCTTTCTCTGAGTTGTTTTTGTTGGGGGTTTTACCACACCAACAGGAAATGAAGACAATCAGATAATTAAGCTAAGCCTAAGAAGGCTTACATAACTCCTGTCCACGGAGTAGTATAATAGTTCACATTTCATTCCCATGACACATGTTTAGCACAGTGCAAAACACCTTCCTCTACAAAGAGCAGTGACATTAGTAAAGATATGCAGGTGCTATTTCTCCATTCCATACAAAATGGTAGAAAGGTAGCTAGGTAAACCAACTTTTCACACACCTAGGAGAGATAATGAGGTCCCAACATAAGAGCTCAGATCATAGGTGATAAAACCTCAGTGGCAGGCTCAGGGAAATACTAAAGACACTCAAAATGCTTTACCTGTCAGCCTTCATGAAGAGGTTAGGTGGGAGCTCAATGAGCTGGTTATGCTGCACATCCAAGACCTCCACCGATGTTCTCTCTAGCCTTTCAGGGAGCCTTGCTAACTGGTTGTGTCCTGCCAGCAATTTCCGGAGACTACTATTACAAAATAAGCTGTATGAGAGGGAACAAAACAGAAGGCAACTATTTATACAGGGCTAATTTGGGATAAGGGTTAAAAAAGCACAAGATTTAAATAACCATCATTCCACAAATTATACATTAATTCAATACAGGCTAACTGGTTCGTTTTAATTCTTTATTAGATTTTATTTTGGTCAATGCATACAAGTGTTTTCCATGCATGTGTATATGTATACCACATGAGTACCTGGCGCCTGTGGAGGTCAGAAGAGGGCATCCAATTCTCAGAACTGGAGTTACAGATAGCTGTGAGCCACCATGTGGGTGCTGGGAATTGAACTCACTCTTATGCAAGAACTGTCAGAATTATGCTGAGTTATTTCCCTAGCTTTAGCAGGTTTATTTTAATATAAACTTTGGAGCTATTTGTATTTCAGTGCCTTCTATATTTGTTTCATAGAAGGAGACACTGGAGAGCTTGTTCTAATCTTGGTTGGCAAGGTGAGCTTTACAAGACTGTATGCTTCTCCAGACCCACAAGGCTAATGTCCTGTCCAGAGTCTGAATGAACACAGCTGAGCAATCTTCACAGAGATGATTAACAGTAAGCAAAATCTTCAGGGACATTAAGCCTTCTAAATACATCTAAGAAAATGTTACATTTTACTTCATAAGTTAGTTTTCCCATTTTCTCTGCCTAATGCCTGTATATTTTACAGATCCATAGTTTCATCCTATTGAACAGCAGACACTCTCTCCTAAAGAGAATAGAATGCAGTATTATTATTAAATGATAATTCAGTTCAATCCTTCTGGATACTGTCTAATCATTAAAATACTACTTCTCTTTTCACGTATTTTCATTTATAAATGACTTGTTTTGTTGAACTCATCATATACCTTCTTTAGAGAAACAAAAGTTAAATATTATATCAATTCTAAGGAATCACTTTTGATTGAATATTAGACCACCAAAACTGGATTTAGCAAAACCTGTAGCTAAAACACTGAGGGAGAAAGCAATAGGTATTGTTTTTGCTTCATAAAAAAAATGCAGAGAAACACTGAATTATATGACAATATAACACTTGGTATTTACTTTGAATAAGCATTTGTTTAGACCCACAAAAGCCTAAACTAGTACAGAGCCAATCAAATATTGGCTTGGTAAAATGGTAAAATCTCAGTTACCTTGTATTTATTAGTGTGTGAAAGTATAATACAGTGTAAGCACATCTAATCCCTGGTGTGCCACTTGTTGAACTGAATAGGGAAAGACAAGATAGAAGAATAATAAAAAAGATAATGGTAAAAAAAATTTCCAACGATTTTCCTCCCTAAATGTGGCCATTTTGTTTTTCATGTTCCTCTTGTAAAAACAATGGGCATGGTTTGTGTTTGTCTATCTGTCTGTCTATCTCTCATTCTAGTGATGATTGCTGCATGAAGGTCAATTAAATGTTCAATTAACTAATATTCTGGGGACAGAAAGCATTTTTAAATGAACCTGGTTTTTGGGTATTACGAATAAAGAGAAAATAATCATTTTGGGGACTGAAATGTAACTTAGATTTATTTTATGAGAGCAATATTCTAATACAATGAGAGCTACATGTGCAACTGGAAACTCTCTAGGTACCACATTAAAAAGTAAAATGAGCCGGGCGGTGGTGGCGCACGCCTTTAATCCCAGCACTTGGGAGGCAGAGGCAGGCGGATCTCTGTGAGTTCGAGGCCGGGCTAAACCGACAGCCTCCAAAACAATACAGAGAAACCCTGTCTCAAAAAACAAAAACAAAAAAAAAAAAAGTAAAATGAAGTAATTCTTATCACCTGACTAACTATGTCTAAAATTATTTTAGCATTGTCACTATAAATATTTTACATTTGGTGTCTATATTTATAGTTCTTCACTAGAACTAGTTACATCTCAGGTGCTCACTCTGTGTGTGTGTGTGTGTGTGTGTGTGTGTGTATGTCACAGACAATATAAGTCACCACTGACTATCTTCCTCAGCCATTATTTTTGAGGCAGGGCCTCTCACCCACCACCCACCAAGTGGCTAGATACTGCACTAACAGGGACCTACCTATGTCTGCTTCCAGCGCTAGGGGTACAGACACATGTGACAAAGCTTGGCTTTTTCATGTGGATATTGAAGATCCAAACTCAGATTCTCATACTTGTATGACAGGCACTTTTGACTGCGCCATTTCCCCAGCCCCTACCCATACTTTTAAGGGTCAATTAAAAGAAATAGGTCATAAAGATCAAATAAAGGTTAAGCTGAATGTTACTTTTACCTTATTTGTATTGATATTTTTGATTATACATTGATAAACAACTTTTCCCTGTCCTATAACTGGCTAAAAAGGTTGAAATAACTGAACTTAAATTTTGGTAGCAACTGGTCATCAACTAAGTTTAAATTACTACTTAAATTAAAATTATTAATCAGTGCCTTGGTCAGAAGAGCCACACTTCAAATGCCTGGCATTACATACTGATGTTAGAAGCACTAAGGTAAACACCATATTCATCACAGAAAGTTCCCACAACAGTCTAGGAAGGAATTCTCTTACGGTTTATTAACCACCTGGGTAGTCATAATTACTTAACTGGAAAAAATTTGTCAACATCTATGGATATTAGAAATCATTATGTGGCTACTTCAAAACTCTTATTATTAAAGAACAAATATGATGGGAAGATGAGTCAGTGGTTAGAGTTCTTGCTGTGAGGCCTGACAAGCTGCATTCAGATCCCCAGAACCTGTACAAGCTGGAAGCACCCATGTATGAAATTCTCATGCTTCTATGGGTGAAATGAGGTTCTTAGAAATGTGAGGGTCAGCCAGCCTGATATAATGCATCAGCACATAAAAAAGACCTTGTCTTCTCCAAGGTCGACAGTGAGGACTAACTGCAAGGTAGTCCTCTGACCTCCACATGTAAACCATGTACACACCCCAACACTATTGAAAAGCACAAATTATGAAAAAAGCTAAGAGTGAAAGGGGAGAAAGAAAGTGAAGTTGGTAGATTTCCTATTTCAAATTTGAATTCAAAGAGAAAAAGACCACCTAGTTTGCTCTTTCAAGGTTCAGTGATCTAACAACATCCATCTCTGTCATGTTCCGACACTATCAAAATCGTATCATCCCAGGGAAAACAAAAATTATCTAGGGTAAGGTAGAAAGAATTAAGATCCAAAAGGTACATTCCTGGTTTATTTGCAACTTTCCAATAAACACGACCACATCTGCAATGTCAGCCTGAAAGTCAAAGGCTTACTCTACTCTCTACCCCACAACAATACAGGAATAAAAACCATCAACACATTTGAAAACAGTCTCTTAGGATTCCCAACAGCAAGCTAATAAGATAAACACTAAGTCTGTTGGGGAATATTATTTTTAGGTGTGTGACTTTTGTTTATGCTGCATATGTTTAACTCTGTGAAGCTGTGTTACTATGCCTGTCTAAAGCATCTGGTGGTCCTAATAAAGAGCTGAATGGCCAATAGCAAGGCAGGAGCAAGGATAGGCGTTGACCGGCACAGAGAATGAACAGGAGAAACAAAGAAGGAGAGCAACCTGAGAACAAGAGGAGAACATCAGGGGCCAGTCACCCAGCCACCCACAGAATAAGAGAGAAAGTAAGATTTACAGAAGAGAGGGGTAAAAGTTCAGAGGACATGGCAGACAGGTTAATTTAAGATAAGACAAGCTAGAAACAAGACAGGCTAAGGCCAGGCATTCATAAGTAATAATAAGCCTCCGTGTGTAATTTACTTGGGAGTTGGGTGACAGAACCCCTCAAGAAGCCAAAAGAGTAAAAAACATACAACTACATAAGTCACCAGGTTATCACTGATACTTTTTTTATATCCTCTCATTTGATCTGAAATACTTACCGGGCAGGAAGTTCACATATTTGATTATGGCCAATATCTAAAACTTCTAATTTTCGGCTTTCACATACCCACTCAGGCACATTTTCTAGGCAGTTTCTGAAGATAAAAACATACAAATTATTATTTTAAAAATAAATTTGGTCTCAAATATGCAGTTTAATTTTTTTTAATTATATGTGTCTGTGTATATGTACACTTTCATGAAGGTGCCACTGAGGCCAGAAGAAGCCATAAGATCCTCTGGAGCTATAGTTACAGACAGTTGTGAGCCACTGCTATGGATGCTGGAAGTGAACTCTACAGTCCTCTGCAAGAGCAGCACAGACTTGAATTCTGTCCATCTCTCCAGCCCCTCAAATGTACTTTTAAGCTCAAAACAACTACAGAGAAACTTTTTTAAAAAATGCCAAAATACAATGAGAAAGGTTAAAAGGATATATGAAATCATTGTATTTTAAAACCAAGATGAATTAACATACTAGAGAAGAAATAAAAACTAACAGATACAGCATCTGAACCATCTCTAGCATCTAAAAGATTTCTACTTCTCAATTGTTAAACACCCCTTTAGAGACCACTGCAAATTCAGTAAGAGGGCTAGTACGGGGGGGGGGGGGTGATCCAGTTAAGTCAAATGATCAATTAACAAAGTGTTACTTTCAAGTTTACATTTTTATCATTGGCATTACAATAATTCCCAATTCTACTTGGCATTATGAAAATACAGCTACTGGGAAGAATGGGAAGTGAAATGGTGCACCAACTGTTAAGACTTAGAATTAGTTATTTGAAAATGTTTACTTGGACATTTGACAATAATTACAGTTACTAGAAACAAGTGAACTGAACCTATAATGCTATGAGCAAGAGCAAAACAGGCTCACTCAATAGCCAACTCTTTGAAGTAAATCTGTACAAGGCATATGTACCTAGGTACACAAACCCCTGTTTCCATTTAAAAGCTGAAAAATTACACCCATAGTTGATAAGGAGGTGTGGAAAAAAACCTAAGAACTTAATCAAGTAATGTCTGAATTTAAGTTAATTAAATACACTGTAGCAATGTAATAGCAAATTCATGAAACCATTCAAAGAACTTTATACCTAAGTTTACAGTAAAGTTACAAGTGGAATAATTCTCCCAATAGCTAAAAACTAAAAAGGTGTTTATTATTAAAGTAGCCTAATCTGTGTGCTCTTCATGATGAAAGGTAAAATTCTATGCCTTATAACTCACACTGCCATTGGGATTGCAATGGATGATGCATACCCTCCAACAGCTTGCGTTGGCATTTCCAGAAAGCCAGATCCTATGTTGTAAGAAGAGGCTCATGGATCTGCAGCACTGACAACGCCCGTTTGATAATGGAAACGAGTCATGCCAAGGATGCCAGGAGAAGGTAGTAGGATATTTATTCAGATACAGAAAAGTAACTTACATGAGAAGCTGAGAACCAGGGTCAGCACTCTATGGTCTTTGAACCTCCACCAGAATCCAAGAGAGCGGGGTCCCCTGTTTTATCCCTGGTTTCTACCATGTACCTGTGACCACGCCCAAACAGGCGTGGTCAGTGCTGCAGATCCGTGATACTTCTCCCTACAATATGTGCTCTGAAATTTTGGATATTTCCTTAAAATGAGTTTCAATTTTAATAGTTTAAAATTACTGAAATTTCACTTGTATAAATACATGTTGTAGACAAAGCCATGCCTTTATGTCATGAAGTGGGAGGGGGCATCTATTTTTGTATTTTTAGGCACTGGAATCAGTAAGACCCACCGCAGAAGTGTCAGAAGCTCTGCCAACCTACAGCAAGCTAATAGCCCAACAGCTCCCAGAAGTTTTAGCAAGTACATGTGTGTACAAAGTGAAAAAAAAATGAACTTAGAGAAACAGCCGCATACAATTAATACATATAAAGAGCTACTGGACCTTCAAGGCACCTGAAGTCTCCAATCTTTTGGGTGCAAACCTGGGGTCCAAATTGGTTCCAGAGCTGGGGGCGTTACCTCAGTGGTACCGGTCTGCTTAGCTTGGATGAGGCCCTGAGTTTGAACTCAGGTACAGGAAAATCACAAAAAGATGGCATCCAAAGTCACTTGACTTTTTTTTAATGACATTTTAAATTAAGTTTAATTTTTATTATTTTAAAACACTTTAGTTTTTGTCACTTTTCTTAAAACTCTAAAATTAATTAAAAAACAAAAACCCTTAGGCATGGGATTGGATAGAATAAGCTACAGAACTCCCCAATGGGCCAGCAGTTCTGTGAGGTGGCGCCTTCTTACCTTGAGACATCCATGTAAGACAGAAAATTCGGGACTGGGTAAACATCGAGCTGAACGAGTTCTAGGAGGGGAAAGAACACAAACACATTACGACCCACGTGACTCCGTATGTAGGAAGTGCTGACACTCGCCCTCCCGTTTACAATGCACCTTCCCGTGTAACTTGAAGTCCAGGAAAGTAAAGCCATTTTCCAGGGCAACCATGAGACATTCACTCTCTGCTTCTAGTCATTTATGTGCTTTCCCACCATTACGTGTGCTAAAGTGTACCTAAAAGGCCACCCAAGTGAACAGCGTATTTTTAATTCTCACAGATCATCCATAAAACCAAAGGCCCCTTGTTTTTGATTCCCTCACAACAGAGACAGCACTTGGGAGCATTGTAAATGATCTCCTCTCAGATCAGAAGGTTTTCTGTACTTAGGAAATGGGCACCACTGACTGCCTAGGTCTCTGTTCCTTGGGCTGAGCAGTTACTGAAAGGCCTGCTCTTAATTCACAGGTTCAGTCTGCTCTGGTCCCAGTGAGAGATTTACAGAGTAACTTTTGGTACCAGCTCCCTTCTTTCCAACATTTCAGGCACCCACCCACCCCAAGTCATGCATCACAGTTACAGCCTGGTTGCAGGTTCCCTTAGCTCACATCAAGTTCATCTTGGTAGCCTGGACAAGTGGTGAGTGGATTCTCCTCCTCTCTCCTAAGTGTATCTTGCTATCAGTGTGAAAGCGTCACTTCCGTCACATACCTCCTCCTCAGGATCTCTCCTGTAAGTCGCATTATCTGACTCCACACCATACATCCCACAGGTAATAAACAACCCCCAAATAAGAGGTCTTATTAAATAACTAAGAATTTTGCTTTCATGATATTCTTGTGGGCACTTAATTCAGGCTAATCTTCAAGTAACCCCATTGTCAGTGGAACACAAAATTGTAGGTCTTGAATGGAGCCTACAGTGAAATTTCCTTCCATCCCCCAGTATTTAATCGGGAAGCCAAGAAACAGTTTACCTTGTCCCTTATTTAAGTAGAAGAAACAAATGACCACTGTGAGCAATTTAACATGACATAAAAAACCAACTAGGAATAGTAAAATCTTCCCTTCTGTTCCTGCAAATAAGATGCCAACAATCTTCTTTCATGACCTTTGTCTTGGAAGGATTTAACACTTACTTTACTAAATGAGGAAAGAATAGATTCAGCGAGGCCTGGATGACAGTGCTGGGTAAACAGAGCAGCTTGGATGTAGTCTGCCACTTACCATTAGAAGAAGCATAGAGTGCTTTTAGGAAATAGCCACAAATGTTCAATGTCACCAGCTGATTCCTTTCACAGTGCAGAACTTCTATGTTGTTGAAAATCATAGCATCTAGATCACCAAGTTTATTATCTCGCAGGTCAAGCTGAGTGACATGTTGCACAAAGTCCACTTCGTCTGCTATAAGCTTTCTGAGTACGTTCAGTCTTAAGGAGGAAGGACACAAACACAAGCTACTTAGCTACAATGCTAGAAATAAACTGCTGAGCCCAAATAGTGTGCCATATGGACTCAAGTCTTAGTGTATTAGAGTTCGCCATGCTGTCTGTAATCTTAGCTTCCATCTTTTTTAACTGGAAAGATCCACTAGCTATTTTTAGCTTCAATTCTAAGAGGTCTGAAGACAATTTGGGCCATGAAGGCTAGAAGGGGAGCAAGTATATTGATTTTACTTAATTTACTTCAAAAGAAGAAAAACTATCCACTTAGGCACTTCCAAAGAAAGAGGCTGGGAAAGCACAGATGCCATCCTGGAATGAACACTGGAAACCAATCCAGAACCACCTGAGACACGCTGCACCTGCACTGGCTCCCTAAAGGAGGAGACAGACACATGGAAAAGAAGTGCATGTGGAAAAAAAGATAGGCAATTATAAAGGACAGTGACCTCAAGCCACATACCGAATGGGAGCACCAGAGATGGAAAGGAGGGTTAAGGGACTCTTGATGGTCAGGATCAGGACTGACAGCTACAGCTATTTCCATACATGGACTACTACTCAAAAGAGCAAAGTGTAGAAGACACTCAACACTGGCATCATGATTGTTGAGAAATCATAAAGTGAAGGACATCGATGGGGATCAACAATTTTAGAACGGAGCAAAATAAAGGAAAGATGGCAGAATCTTTTGTCATGATAACTAGTAGGTGGAGTGAAGCTATTGCAGATAAGCTGTGAAAGACAAGCTTCAATGGATCAATATGAGAAAGATATGAAACCAATATTACAAACAGAAATAGATGGAAATGTCACTTCTTGGCACCAAGATAGGCTACATCTTTCTCCCCAGGTGAAAAAGCACTGAGCTTGCACTGTTATTATACATGGAGTTAGAGACCAGACATTCTCTGGAGTTTCTGCTCTTCAGAAAACAAAATGGAACGATGTATATAAGCTATTAAGAGAAATATCATAAAGAAACACAAGGATGGGTGACAGCACAGAGTGAGGATTTGTCAACAACCAGGGGCAGCACATGGTGTCTTCAAATGATGTTTTTAGTTCCTTCTTTTCTTGTTCTTGGTTGTAAGATTCAAAATTTGGCCTTAGCCCAGAAATGTGCCCATTTCCAAATGCTCACTAGATGATCAGAATGTGCACAAAGGAGAAAAAAAAAAAGCCTCATTTGGAGATAACAGGACTGAAGGAATTTAAAGAATGTTTCATGTTCTCCCCCCAAATTATACTTTGAATGACCATAATAGCATTATCACTTTCATTTCAAACAACGGCCCACCCACCCACCCACCCACCCACAAGTCACCATGTTGTACAAAGATGATGAAAAGAACTTTGTTTTAATGAGGAATCAGAGGAAAGTCCACGAGGAAAGGAAAATGGAGTTCCTGTGTGTGAAGGAGCAGCTCCAAGAATTATCTTCCAGCTCCAGGTGGAGACCTTGAGCACCAGTCACCTAACTCTCATCTGTGAAATGAGAAAAACATCTTTCTTATTCTGCAAAATAGTAAAGAAATTGGAAGAAATTCCAGGTCTGTGTACACTGTGAAGGGCTGTGGCCATGGTGACCACCGCTGGCTTTATATTGGTAAGAGTAACAAGATGAAGTGCTTTGCAGTGCTCCATAGGAGAACTACGTAGGTGATGACGTTGTAGGAATGTACAAAATACAGAGAACCTACAAAGCAGGTGCACCCTGCCTGAATCCCAAGGGTGTGGAGAGCAGGGACTAGCAGTTCACAGGCACTGTGGCTTCTAGATCAAAGGCAGGAACTATGCAATGTGCGACTTTCAAGCCTGCTAGAATTGGAAAGAATAGTAATATGCTGGCTATGCTCATGTACTGATCCCTTACAAGTATTTAGCAAGGGCTTTATCTACCAAATGCTAATACTGGGAGAACAAGGCTAAATAAGAGCATTGCCTAACAGGCCACGACAAGGGGACTGCTTTCTAAATTTCTAAGTCATCAGAGCATACACAAGCACACAGCTTCTATCACATGACTTGCTACTCAAAGTTAACACATCAGCTCTTTTCTTGCACAATCAATCTGTCATAAAGTGCCTGAATACAGCACAATGTCAAATCACCACACATTTCTAAAACAGTTTCTATCTCATTGTGGAAAGTAGCAAAGGAATGGCTTCCCTGCCCATGTTGAAGCACACGGTGAGCAGCTCTAAGATAGAGCCTCTTGCACAGGACTTGTATGCTAGTGTGTTGAAAGTAGATACAACTGAGGAAAGCCTGTGCTTCACAGGTATGGGTGAGGATATAAATAAGAGAAACTAAGGATTAATGGTCCAGCTGGCAGCTGATGGGAACCTGGTCCCAAGAAGACAAAGAGGGTTAAGTAAAGGTGGAAGACTGGTTGATTATACTGAAGAATGTCAATGTAGGGGAAAGAATAAAAGAAAAGGTGATTGTTTCTCAGTCTGCTGTAACATTTCTTTTGGAAGGAAATGTAATAAAATCAGCTGTTTGTGTAGAGGGAATTCAGTGATACCCAAGTTATTCTTCTATCTTCAACCGAAAGCACCAGGGCAGTACTAGAAACAAATCTACACTTTGCCTCTCTGCACAGGAACCCAGAAAGAAGCAGTTACCTGTGCACTCCGCATTTACAAAATGCCCACTGTCTCCTCTGGTAAACAGCATCTACCTGAAGTCATCCAAAAAGACTCAAACAAAAATCACAGTCCCAGGATTTCACAGAGATCTTTCTAAGAACTGTGACTAGACACATTAGATCAATCTCATTTGTAATCTCATTCAAGAAAAAAGACTCCTTTGTCACATGTACCACGTAACTCTGAAATCATTTCAAGCTTGTTACCTGAGGTCAGTGCCCACCATTCCTGGATCTAACAAAGTCATACATACCATTGAGTCACTGAAAATAAATAGACCTACATTCTGAAATAAGAAATTATCTATTCAAACAACTAAGACTAATAACATTATGCTTGTAAATAAATTTAACCAAGAAAAGTGTTGGTCCCTGTCCCATTCTAAAAAGTTCTCAAATGCAGATCAATTACAAGTATTTGTATTTGCCAAATGAAGCATTATCGCCCTGCATACCATTAATACCCCCTAGTCAGGAAAGCCTGCCTTCTTTTGTGTGAGGAGAGATGAAGTCAAGCAATTCTCCACTGGCAGGATGTCTGGCCCACAAGCCAAACCACGTAAGTGGGAAGAAAGGGAGCAAATGAAGCCACTTGACTGAATGAGCCTCAGAAAGCAGCGTTTGAGTTAGCCAGAGGGGAGAGTGGGTAGTGAAGCAAGGACAAACCCACTTTCCACAGAGTAAAGATGCCAAGAAAGACACCTGAGCAGGCTTTAGGAGAGGAGCTAGGCCTCGGGCAGTAACAACTGAACATCCTTGCTAGACAGTTCAACTCAATTCTCTACACAACTCCACAAATTGAGTTCTATTATTAGCTGTAATTTGTAGATCAGAAACAGACACATAGAAATTAACCCATCAAGATTTACTATGGATAGCAAATGGGTTAATGGCGGGGGTGGGTGGTGTAAATTTAGTTGAAAAAGTACCAAACTGAGTAAGCCTGAAAGGCTCACACATGTACACTGCTTTGTAATAAGTTAAATCCATGACAGGCTCTTGTTTTTCTTTTAAAAAGATAAACTTAAAAGCCATCCTCCTTGGGCACATAGAGATGGCTCAGCTGTTAAATGCACTTGCTTGTCTTCGTTGAGGACCTGGATTTGGTTCCTAGCACCCACATGGCAGCTCACAATGTCTGTAACTCCAGTTCTAGAGGGCTTGACAACCTCTTCTGACATCAGTGGGCCCCAGGCGTGAACATGGTGCATACATACATACAGGCAAAACATTCACATATGGAGAATAGACCAAATACATCTCTATTGGATCCTCTTGTGTAAACTATCTCTGTGATTAAATACTAAGAGAAGCTTATTTACCAAAGGATGTTGGTGAAGTATGCATGGGCAGCAAAGACAAGGCCAGAGGTTCCTAGCTGGGTTTCAGTGTACTTGGACTAAAAATGAAGTCTCTCTGCTTTTATAAGGAATCAGAGTAAAGGGAGTAGCTAACTTTGGATCTGAAGAGATAAATTACAGAATTTATGTTTTTGTGAAGAATGGTAAGCTAAGCTCTGAGCCACTTGAATGGATATAGAAAAAGTTAAATCAATTTAACTTAACGTGTACATTAAATTAAGGGGGAAAAAAATCAAGAGATGCTCCACAGTATCAAATGTCTCAAGCAAGACACAGATAAGAAAGACTGAACAACCTCCACCATGTTCTCAGTGATCTTCAGTTAATGTAAACAGTCTCTACCCCGGTGCTCCTATATATTCATGCAAATTAAAATTGGGCTTAGGTTCACAAAACCAAAGAAACCCCTCATAAAGAAAAATCATTCATCAGTAGGATTTTGTTTTTCGAGACAGGGTTTCTCTGTGGCTTTGAAGGCTGTCCTGGAACTAGCTCTTGTAGACCAGGCTGGTCTCGAACTCATAGAGATCTGCCTGCCTCTGCCTCCTGAGTGCTGGGATTAAAGGCATGCACCACCACCGCCCAGCATGTGGGATTTTTTTTTTAAACAAGCTTCAGGGAAGAAAGAAAATTGCACAATTAGTCATTTCTTCCCTCTGGGTACTAGTTCACCCCACAATACAAGCCAGTCACTCAGATGAGATATATTTCTCATAAGAAGTTACCTTAGGTCCACGTGTTTAATATGAGGCATTCTTCTGAAAGCCTGTAGTCTGAGGGTCTCCATACAGTTCCCAGCCATACAGAGTTTGTCCACAGCAGTCAACTTCTCCAACACCTCTGGAATGTCAGTGAATTCATTAAAGGAAAGACCCAGATAGCTGAGCTGGTGCATGTTCTCCAACTCAGCAGGAAGAGACTGGAGAAAATTCCCATCCAGCAAAAACGTCTGTAAGCTATCAAAGAAGACATCACAATTACACAGGAAAATGTACATTTTCCAACTTTCTTATCAACACACAAGTTCATGAAGATCACATTACTGTAATGCTGCTAAATGCATAAGGACAAGCAGAAGGTAACTATGGACAAGGGAGATAAGATCAGAAATCAGGACCTTAATGTCCTATTAAAATGAGAAATGTTACCCATCTCCTCAACTTGCAAAGGTACACATGAGGAAATGTGCTAACTGCAATGCAAACCTGCCCAATATGCACTGATACTTACTTGTTTTCTTAAAATTAATTTCGAAGACTTAAAATTTAATAGCTCATAAAATAAAAAAGAAACCTCTCTCCTATGCTTAGAAACACTCATTCACAGGGACTGCAGTTCAAAAACAATTGCAGTTTAGTTCTTACAAGATCTAAAGATCTAAACTCTTTTAGCACATGAGCTCTACAGACTACAAGTACCCTCCTGCTGGAGGTGAGGCCAGTGCTTTCCTTGGCAAACATAACAAATTAATATGATGTGCAACTTCCACAGAGCGTCCCAGATCCCCCCGGGGTTTACAGTACACACTTCTGCATCGCTCCGACAGCTGCTGGGACCTCTCGAAGAGCATTGCAAGACACATTCAGCTCTGCTAGGGTTGGAATGCTGCAGACTGCTGACGGAAAGGCTCCTAGGTGGTTATTGGAAAGGTTAAGGCTCTTCAGCTTGGTGAACCTATCACAATAAAAGAGAAGCAGAAAATGTCACAAATGCATGGCACAGCCTCGAGGATAATCCTGTCCTACTCCCTGATCTGACTCCAGCCCTTCAAGGCTTAGGGAAGAGCAAAGCTAGAGAGCAAATCTGACTCCAAGGCCAGTGTTTTGCCTAAAATGTAAATATATTCAGAAAGACTTGTTGCTGTGAAATCAGGGTGACTGAAGAATAAGTTCTACTGGAACAACTTTTTAAACTCTATCGTCCATTACACAACTCACATTAAACCCAAGGTCAAGATTATTTTTACAACACCAGGATCCCACCTTGCTTTGTGCTGTTTCACTTCAATTGCACATCCTTGTGAAAGCATAGAGAACCCAGACAGAAAGTCACAGACTTGCAAAGACAGAAAACAGTGGCATCCATCTTGGTATTTGTGTTACATAAAATGGTTTTTGTTCCCTTGATCCTGCCACCTGAGGCAGGCGAGGGAGCTGACAATCCCCTTTACCAGCCGCAGCACTTGGGATTGGACCCTCCACTTGTGTAGCACTCTGACCCTGTTGGCGTAGGTTGAGTAAGCCAGCCCCGATGTTGTGAGAGTGAGGGAGCTGCCCTATTGCTCATCGTCATGAGGCAGCATGGGCCAGGAGAGATGCCCTAACACTCCCCGCAATGCCTAGGCAAGTGGAAGAGCTGGCCCTGAGGTCATCAGAGCTGCCTTCCCCTCCCTCATCACCTGCAGCACTGGAGAGAGTGGCCCCTGCACCCCACAAAGATGACCCAGAAAGTGTAGGTGCGGGAGAGCCCACCCTTAGGACTCAAAAGCAGAAGGACTGGCCCTGCCCCTTACTCATCAATGCAAGGGGTGAGCTAGCCAGGGCAACACTGGAGCACTCGGCCTGGTGGTGAGGACAGGGAGAGATGGCGGGCTGACAACCCCTGCAAGTACTCAGGCCCCAAACCAGGGTTGTATTGTGTTGGCCCACCCCAACATCCACCCCATCTGCGATCTGCTGGAGCACAGGGTGGGGATTGGTCCTGTGAACCCAGGGCTGCAGGAAGAGTCCCAGTGAGGACCCAGTGTCAGTGATGTAGCAGGGACCAAGGGCTTTGAACCAGACCATTGATTCCTGTGATGAGCACCTGCATGTGAAGATGTGTGGATACAGGGGTTTACTGTGTGACCCACTGTGTCACACTGCAGTGTCCATGAGGAGAGTCCTCCTTTTTTCTCTTAAATTTTATTTTGTCTTATTTGGGGGAAGGGATGGATGGGATTGGGATACATGGTGTGAAAACACAAAGAATAAATAAAAAGAATGCTAAAAAATGGTTTTCATTTAAGTGTCAGTATAATCTAAACTTCTTGGTTTTTATATGTACATCTTTAAATTTCTAATTAAATAAAATGTCACCATATAGAGTTCATACAAAGGAGTTTACTGATATCCTTCAGTTCTTGAGAAGGCAAAGGAGCCCTGGAATATGGCTGCCAGATAAACTATAGAACACCATTAAATACAACTTGCAGACAATGTTTTTTTTCATTAAGCATGTCACAAACGTTGCATGGGATAAACTCATGCTAAAAAAATAATAATTTGTAGCTCAAATTTAACTGGCACTTGCTCCATCCCTCCTTCCCCTCAAATATGGCAGCTTTCCCTCAGATGAAACCACTGTTCCCATTCAAGCAAAACCATGGTCTCTTTCTAGATGCTTCCCACATTTGGTAAGAACAGGGTACAGCTTGAAGCTATGCACACTATTAAATTCAGAATTAAGAAAAGAACATGAGGAAGGAAACCGATCTGCTAGACAGTGGAGAACAAGAATTTCAAAGTCAGTAAGTGTTCAAGACGGGAACGAGTGGTCTGGCTTTTGGAGAAGAAAATAATGAAGCAAGGCAAAGTAAAACTCACTTATGCAAACAAATTTGCTGGAATTCGATCACTATTGAGAATAAACAAAAGTGCAGAAAGAGGCAAAAACAGCTGTCATGCTTAAATGGAAAGGGAGGCTCTTAGCAAGTATCCCTCATTCATTTAGCATTAAAAAGACTGTTATCTATAAAGAAAAGAAAGTGCAATTTTTCTCTAAATCAACTCAATTACAGAGCCTAGAGAACTTAGGTAGTAACAATGGTCCCTACGCCTAGGGCCAAGAGTCTTCTAAAGAACTCCCAACAAGGCCACACCTCCTAATAGTGCCACTCCCGCTGGGGCAAGCGTTCAAACACATGAGTCTATGGGTCCACACCTGTTCAAACCACCACAGGTATACTGGACTAAACAAAATATGCCACTAAAATTATTTCACCTGTTTCCTTTATGCTTCTCATAATGCAGATACCAATGAGTTCAAGGTTATTTAATGTGGAAAAATATTTTCCATATTAGAATAAAAAGCAAGATCCCGAATTCCCCATCCAAATGTTATGTTTCCAGAGCTTGTGAGGGTCTCTTTGCTGGTCCTACCCTCTCTCCTACATGTGTATCCACAGGTTCACAGAACACAAAGCTTGAGCATCTAGGCTGCAGTGTCACACACACCTTGTTTCTAATTAAAATTTAAATTTAAAAATAAAGAAAAAAAAGAGGGGAAAGTTGACAGCCAGGGTACCAGCAAATATCCTATCACAAAACACAGTATAAAATGTTAAGCTTAAGAGGCTGGAGAGATGTCTTAGTGGTTAAGAGCATTGCTCCTGCAGAGAACCGCAGTTTGTTTCCTAACACCAACCCTGGGCAGCTTCCGACTTCCTGTCCTCCAAGACACAATAACCATCTTCATTCCATAACAGGCACACACACATGAGCACACACATACATAAAAATGATTCTTAAAAAGACATTAATGCCAGATAAATAATGTATATATAAAACCAGTTCTAAAATAAAAGTGGCTGATTTGGAAGAAAAAAAGTTAAACATGCACATTTGGCAAATAGTTTTAAAAAGACCTTATTTTAAACTAGCATTTCAATTCTATTGTATTCACTCAGGTTACTGGTTTCTTAAATATATATAAGAAGAGAATCAAAGCATTCCAGAGTTTAGATTAGTAAAAACATATTGATGATTGTAATAGCTATTGTACAATAATAGGGGAATGCTGATGGTTTAAAGACTAAAAATTTGAAGGAAAAGATAGGTATAAAAATCTTCTTACATGTATTACAGTGGGAGAATATGTGTATCTGTGGTGGACTGAATGAGAATGACCACCATAATAAGCACATGCATTTACATATTTGGTCCCAGCTGGCAGAACTTTGGGAAAGAACTGTTAGTGGGTGTGGCTTTGCTAAAGGAAATGTGTTACTGGACAGTCCCAGTGTACCTCTCTACCTAGTGGCTGTATCTAAAGATGTGAGCTTTCAATTACTGTTAGAGCGCCATGACTGCTGCTGACATGTTCCCCACCATGATGATCATGGCATCTAACTCTCTGAAACCATGAGCACCAAGTCAAGCGTTTTCTTCTTATATTTTTGGTTGTGAGCCTAGCCTTTAATGGCTGAGCCATCTCTCCAGCCCAAGCGTTTTCTTCTATAAGATGTCTTGGTTATGTGTTTATCACAGAAATAGACAAGTAACCAAGACAGTATTTTACACATACATATATCTCACAGCACATACAGTCTCAAAGCTAAAGAAAGCTAATTAAGTGGATGCTGTGATTAAACATCTATTCTCTCACATTGCTGAAACTTAAGCAATGTAAGAGCTCTACCCACATAAATAGGATTAATGTCCTTATAAAAGAGGTTGAAGGGTATACCTTTACCCCACCACGTGAGAATTCAGGGAGAAAGTACTGATTCCAAAGTAAGCTCCCAATAAACATCTAATCTACTGGTACATTAGTCTTAGGCATTCCAGTCTCTATTGAATTATGAACAATAAATTCATGCTGCTTGACAGTTACTCATTGCAAGGTATTACACTCATTGCAGTCAGAACAGACTAAGATTGTAGGCATTGTCTTAATTTCAGGTAGGTCTTTTAAAAAATCAAGAATAGAAGAGGTCTTTGAAGTTATCTTATTTTCCAAGCTCACAGATAAAATAAAATGGCTATGAGAGAGTTGTGTGACTACTGCATACACTCTGCCACCTTTCAACACATCACTGTTAAGAACTCAATAGAAGTCCATCAGTGTATGTTATAAAAACTAGCAGTTACAATTCTTAGCCATGAGCCAAAGAATATATTGTAGAAAAAAATGCTACCTCTTTACTCATTTTCTCCTATCAAGAGTGGCAGCAACAGCAATGAGGATGCTTTCTCAAATACCTTATGTTTTGATAAAGAAAACAATTCCAGAATAGTGTTCCCAAACTACCAAAAAATATGAAGACTGACTTCACTTTCCAAAGCAAGCAGTCTACTTCAGGAAAAAGGAAAGTAGCCCACATCCATTGGTCCAGTAACAGAGCTCAGAGGGGGAAATAAATCAAACATGTACAGAGAACCTAATAAGGAATAATGCTAGCCGTTAAAGTGGCATTGTATGATGCAGTGCTACGGTACTACACTGAGCACAAACAGGCACGGGAGGAGTTGAGACTGTGTGACTTATTCGAAACTCCAAGGCACATTTTGCTTCTCAGTACTGGCACAGGAGAGTCCAGATACTGGACAGACTCCAAAATTTTCAGAGACAAGATCAGTAACTATGGCTTGTTAGAAGCAACCCTTGACATCCCCTTCAAACTAGATACCATAAACCCCCATGTATAATGAGAAGTATGATTACCTATTAGGAATAGGGCCTCTAGTGAAAGATGCAAAGTGGGGTCAAAGACAAGTTAGGAGAATGAAAGTAGCATTAGCACTACTGGTCAGGTTGATGGCAATTCCTTATTTGCTCCCCTTACTCTATTTACTTCCTAACTGCACTGAAACTGGAAAGGAAAATGTACAAAGTGCTAAAACATGTAAGGGTGTTGTCTATTAGTTCACGTCATTAAGTCCTTACCTGTTCCATTAAACAGCTTCACAGACATA